TCACAACATTATTCTGTACACCTTAAACTTATATAGTGCTGTATGCCAATTATATCTCAAACTGGAAGAGAAAAATTTTTTTAAATTAAAAAAAGTTGATCACATCATCTATCATCACATTGCTAAATTATAAATTTGTTTCATCTTCTTTTAATGTTTTCTTTCATTTAAAACCTTGGTTCAGTAGTTTGAAAGTGATGAAGTTAATTTCACTGTCATGAGCATTTCATATCTTTGAGAGTTGGTTGTGAGAATCTGGACTCAGTCACACCTAAATTTGAGATTCTCTTCTGTTATTATCTTGATGCATGGTTTTGGGCAAGATAGTCGACCTCTCTTTGCCTCAATTTTCTCATCTATGAAATAGTGATGAGAATAATGGTACTTACCCCGTAGAACTTCTGTGAAGATTAAATGATATAATCAATGTATAACTTTTAGCAACATACATGATAACTTTTGTTATACTACCCAAATGAGAAATGGTGATAGGGAGGAAGTGTGTAATTATTCAGCAATTACTATATTACTAATACTTTTCTTATGATAGTTCATTTAATCCTTTCTACTATCTTATGAAATATGTATTGTCCCATTTTATAAATGGGGAAACTGAGATGTTCAATATAAATATACTTTGTTTTGCCCTGTAAGTAACCTCAGGCACAGAGCCCCTGACATTGGGCTGCTCTCTTGTGAAATGGGGTAATAATTCATATTCTAACTTAGGAGGCTCCAGTGAACCACATCACCAAGAAGAGCACAGTGCCCTGGAATCACCTTCTGGAATGTTAATATCTCTATACTGTTTCCTGCTAGGGGTGATAATGCAGCTACATCTCCCTGCCAGTTCTCCCCAGGAAAGTTTGTCATCAGCCTCACGAGGTGCCAAAGAAATAATGCAAGAGTCAAACAGCCTTTTCTGGGTGCTCTGACTGCCGGAGCCTCTTACAGCTCCATGCCCTGGAGCGAGGCCTGGGCCTCCTCGTTCTGAGCAGGGGAACCCTGCACGAGTTAGACTTGGGTTGAGCAGCATGCAGCAGGAATCAGCTCAGCTCAGACCTAGGGAGGAGACTCACAGACGTCTACAAAGATTTTATTCCTAAAGCAGAGTTTTGCCAGATGTGAGAGTCTTTTGTAGAGTTGAGTGATGGTCCACCTACCACGTGTCCTAGGCATTTTGACCTCCTGAGGCCTCTTCTTTATTTATAAGCTAAGCTTTCCTTTCATACACAAAGCAGGAAGATAAACCAAACCAGTTCAGTCTTCAAAGGAGGCATGCAGTACCAAAAAAAGGCTGTAACTACTATGAGCAGAGACTGCCAAAATGCAGACCCCTCCATATGCGTGGAATCGTGCAGTGTTTGTCCTTCTCTGGATGCCTTATTTCATTGGGCCTGGTGTCCTTGGGGTTCATCCATGTTGTGGCATATTGTCAAATGAATTTCCTCCTTTTTAAAGGATGAGGGATGTTCCATTGTTTGTATACACCACATTGTTTTTGTCCATTCATCCACTGACGTTTGGGTTGTTTCCACATCTTGGCTATTGTGACATGATGTATCTAAAACAGTCAAATTCACAGAAGCAAAGAATAGAGTGGTGGTTGCCAGGGGTTGGGGAGGGGTGGGAAATGGGGAGGTATTAGTCAAATGTCTAAGTTTCAGTTAAGCAAGGTGAATAAGTTCTAGAGATCTACTGTACAACATTGTGCCTACAGATAAGAGGGTAGGTCTTGTGTTACTACCACGAATTAAAAACAAAAAAAAAGTATACTTTTTTTGGCAAATTAAAGGTACCTAATCAGAGTAGAATAACAATCTGAGTTTTACTTTAGAAGGACAATTTTGGTGTTGTTAAAAAAAACATGTAGAGGAGGAGAAACTGTAGCCAAGAGAAGTTAGGAAGTCATTTTTCTCATCCTGGTGAAAGGTAATGAAGGTGTAGGGGAGGAAAAAGTTTTCCTTGACCCTCTTAGGGTCCCTAACTGGGTCTGAAAATTAAACTGACAAACATAGTTTAACAGGATTAAAGCATACAAATTAATTTAAGTTTTATGTGACACAGCATCCTTCATAAGGAGAGGAGGACCCAAAGAAACAGTTAAATCTGAGTATTTTTATGCTAGGCTTGATGAAGAGTGGAGAGTCGTGGGAGAATATGATAGATCAGAGAGTATGAGATAAGTGTAATAAACTGGGGGAAATTTAGCAAATCCTATATGTTAGAATTCTCTATGTGTCCCTTTGTCTGTGGAGATAAGGATGCTCCTTTCCCCCAGCTATAGAGAAGGCACCTCTCCCATGAAGGTTTTATGACCTGTTTCAAGGGAGAAGCACAGGGGGAATGTCAGAGTGACCTTTCTGCTTCTGCTATTTTCACAAACTCCTTCAGCTTAAGACATTTAGTATACCAAGGTGCCATATTTTAGGGATAGCATGTTCTCAACCCCATCAAAGCCCTACAGTAAGAAGAGTTGGAGACAACTGAGCAAATCTGATTGACATTTCAGAGGTAAGAATCGACTGAATTCTACTGGATGTGATTTAATCTTAGGGGTCAGGAGAAGAGAAGGCTAATGCATCTCCCTCGGATATTTTGAGTTTGAAGAACCTTTGGGATATCTAGGTTTAGATGCTCAGTAGGCAACTGGAGCTGTGGGCCTGGGGATCAAGAAGGAAGTCTTGAATGGAGCCAAGAGTTTTACAAATAAAGGATATTAGAAATAATAGTTGAATCCAACATGGGAGTGTCAAACAGAAAAGTAAGGAGACCAGAGAGCAAAGTCCCAAGGGAGACCAACATTTAGGGGTAGTTGGAAGAATTGGTGTGGCTAGCAGAATGTTAGGATCATGAAATAGGAGTGAAGTAAAGGGAATTTCTAGGAGTAGGTAGTCTCTGGCAACATCTGATATTTCAGAGACATCAAACAAAACATGAGCTCTGAAAAGAGGTCATCAGGTTAAATAGGCCATTTTTAACCCAAGAGAAAGCACTTTCTGTAATGTGGTAAGATACTAGAATATGCTATATTGAAATGAGAACATGGGTGAGGACAGAGACTGTGTGTAGAAAACTCTTAAGAAATTGGCTAACGAAGTAAATTTCTTTGACAGACAGGACTAAGTTTTAAGGCTGTCATAGAGCTAAAGATGAAGTGAGGAAAATTTATAGAAAACAGAAGCTCAGAACCAAATACAGCAGATCTTGAAGCATTTTCTCCTATTACTAGTACCTAGTATAATTTCTGCATGTACATCTGAAATGTATAAATCCCTTCAGTTTTACTGACTCAATTTTTTTCCCTGTATAATTGAATTTTGTTAAGGTCTTCCCATAGCTAGGGTTTTTGTTTTGTTTTGTTTTACTTTTTGGGCATAAAATTCAATTCAGCAATTTTAGAATTACACGAGCAGTTATTTCAAGCATGTGCTCACAAAGCACTTCACACTAGTTGTACTTCACTGTTGGCAAAACTTTGCACGTAGTCATTGCTTAAGGAAGCACTTTTGTGAAGTTTTAAATGTAATTAAAAGTGATGTTATGCTATTTTAAGTTCTATTTTTTTTCTTTCTACATTTTGGCTCTGCATTCTACTTTTAATGATACTATACTATTGAGCATGAGATGGAGAAATGTTTATATAATGCAGTGCCCTCTCCCAAACACAGCCCTTTCCTTCCCATTAAAAGTAACCATCACTGTTCTGATTTTTGTATAGTCACTTCCTTGCTTTTTAAAATTGTTTTATTACATAGGTGTACATTCCTGGGGCGCAGTGGTTAAGAATCCGCCTGCCAAAGCAGGGGACACAGGTTTGAGCCCTGGTCTGGGAAGATCCCACATGCCGCGGAGCAACTAAGCCCGTGTGCCACAACTACTGAGCCTGTGCTCTACAGCGTGCAAGCCACAACTACTGAGCCCACGTGCCACAACTACTGCCTGAGTGCCTAGAGCCCATGCTCTGCCCCCTTCCACTTTATTTTTTTTTTTTTGGACAAGATTACTTCTTAGGTAGTGGGGTGTTCCTCCTCAGGAGACACACAATTCTGTTTTTGAGATGATTGCAGTAGTTGATGCAAAATGACTGGATTCATGATTCACCAGGGTTTCCTGCATCATTGTACTGTATTTCTATGATTTCTTCATTTATTTGCTGGAATTCTATAAAGAGAAAGTTATCTTCCTTTATTATTTGGTTACCAGTGGTACATTTAGAATAGGAAGAGCAGTGTGCTTACTTGATATTTTTTTCTTTATTTACCACTGTTCAAAATTTTAAAAAGCTGGCTCTAAGTTGGATATATATATCAATATCTATACCTACATATTTATATATAGATATATCACCTAATGGCTTTGTACTGATATTTCAAATGCAGTGAAAATTCAGAACTGCAAGATGTTTATTTAAATTCTTCTGTCTCACCACTGTATCTTTATCCCATCCCTACAAATTCTTAAGGAGTAAGAAGACTGGGAATGATAGAATTGGTATATCACACAAACCCACATTACACACAAAACTTTCTTGTAGTAACTACCAATAACATGATTACTGAAAGAGCTGAAACAGTCACTCCTTTCTCTCCTTACTAGTTTCTGTTTGTTTCTACAGTTGTACTGTTTCTACACTGTCAGAGCACATGGCACTTCTTTCAACAGTACTCTTCCCCCTGTATCCTTGTCAGCTAGTGAGTTTAAGCAGACTAAGATCACAGCGTTAGGCTTTTGTGATTCCATTACTGTTGTAACAAAACTTCTCTTCAGCTGTGCCTATGAAAGAAAATAATAAAGGGAACTAAATATATGTTATAGAGGAATAATTCTTCAAAGGAATATTACATTAGGAAACTGTTGATATAGCACTGTTGTTACATTAGGAAACTGCTGATATAGCCCTATTGTTGATTATTTAAACTTTTTTATATCTTGGATTTCCCCTAAATGTAACTTTTACAACATCTTTTTGTTTGTTTGTTTTCTTTTGTGGTAAACAGAACATTCCAATATGCCAGTCGAAAAAAATATCACTTTAGAAAGACCTTCTAATATAGAACTCACATGCCAATTCATGACATCTGGAGATTTGAATTCAGTAAATGTGACTTGGAAAAAAGGTGATGAACTACTTGAGAATAACTATCTCATCAATGCAACAGGAAGCATCCTGTATACCCAATACATGTGAGTAAACAAAATTTTAACCTGTATGGCTAGATGAAATTAAATTCTAAATATTTTCCTGAATGAGCATCCTTTCCTTTGCTGTCACTTGAATGTTATGCTAATATTCTAATTTGCACATTTACAAATTTTTTTCATCTTTAAATTTTGATTAACGGCTGAGTCTTTCATTTTCATTGAGGAGAGTTTTTTGAGAACTAAGCCTGTATTAATAACTTAAATTATCTTTAGGTTCACCATCGTTAATAGCGAACAAATGGGAAGTTACTCTTGTTTCTTTGAGGAGAAAAAGGAACAAAGGGGCACATTTAATTTCAAAGGTCAGTACTAATAATTTGTAGAGTAATAACTTTAGCATTATATTCTTAGAATTCTAAATCCTCAAATTTGTCGGGAAGAAAATATCTAGTTTTTGGGCTGAAATAAATCTTTACCATTATGTAAAGGTCTTGGATCTTATGCCATCATCTAAAATCCTAAAATCCTGTTGTGTTCACAAAATAATTGTTGTGGTAGAAAATAAACAAATAAATCCTCAATTTTTAAAATTATTATTACAATACTAAAAATAGAGCTGAAAAAAAAGGCATCATGTGCTTTCTATTGAATCATAAGTGGTGACCTTGAAAATGGAGCTTCACAGTGTCTTCCCAGTGCTCCCTCCCCCAGTTTAAAACACAGGTTTTAGTTTGAAAGATCAGGCTGCCAGGTTATTTGTACCTCTCTTGTAGCAGTCTCTTGAATTTATTTATTTATTTAGCCCTCCCAACTCAGACCTTTTATAATACTCCTCTAGGTGTCTGAGTTATTGCATTCCTAGACTGTGAGAATATGCTTTGGTGTTCTGTATCAGTGGCTCCAGGACTTGGGATTTTAGGAGCCCATAAAATTTAAAAATAATTTGGAGACGCACAAAGGTTGCCTGCTTTTGATTTCATCAAGTAAGGACAAACCCCAGAATGTAATCCACAGTTCTCCCCCATAGGAGAAAATAAACTCAAAGTATTTTACTCTTACCATCATTAAACCAAAACTTTAAAGGTCTCAGTCTCATAATAGAGACTAGTTGTTGTTCAAGTTGGGTAATTATCTTCATGAAAAACCCATATTCTCTGATAGATAAGTGAATGTCACTGTCCCTGATGGTATTTGGGAAATGCAGTCTGTTGCCATATTAACTATCTTGGGCTTTGCTTCACATTAATTTACCAGCACACATGAGAAATTGTTTACTTTTTCCTAAAAATTGTGAAATCCAGCTAGCTGCTATGACAAAATACGAATTCTATCCCCAAAGTCCCATCAGTAGCAGAATGGCCTGACTCATCACTGCCATGATTTCAGATGGTCCCCTCCTTCATCCCTCCCTATAGTCCCTCTGCACTCAGACTCATTTCCTTCCTGTGGTTTTATAAATATTCCTACTGGGTAAATATAATAAATCCTTGTATTTATGCACTTTGGTCTCTGCAAAGGCAGAAACTATTATCATCTTTTGATTATTTTGATCATGTACATGCTCTTTTAACCTTCTTTCCTCCATTTGCCAAATTTAACCTAGTGAAGGATAGATATATCATATACATTTCCTTCCCTTATTCCTTTTCTTACCTTCCCTTTTCTTTTTCTTTCCTCAGTCTTTTTCTCTTGCCCCCGCCTTTCCATCCTAATGAACTAACAGATACTAAACACATGGACACACATACACACACACAAACACACAATCCTAGTACACATTTTATGTGTCTCCTTTAAATGTGTAAAGAAGGCCTACAGGTCTTGAGGAAATACTCATCAAATCTTGAGGCTCAAAGTGCCTCCAGGAGATTCAACTTTAAAAATTGCTTTGGGCTTCCCTGGTGGCGCAGTGGTTGGGAGTCTGCCTGCCGATGCGGGGGACACGGGTTCGTGCCCTAGTCTGGGAGGATCCCACGTGCCGTGGAGCGGCTGGGCCCGTGAGCCATGGCCACTGAGCCTGCTCGTTCGGAGTCTGTGCTCTGCGATGGGAGAGGCCACGGCGGTGATAGGCCCGCGTACAGCAAAAAAAAAAAAAAAAAAAAAATTGCTTTTTCCCCTCTTCTAAATAGCACTGTTTTCTAGAAATATGTACTAGTCATGCCTGTTCAAAGTTTAAATATCGAATATATTACATTTTTTCTTATTAGCACTGTTATGATAAATTACTTAAATTATTACTTGTAAGTGATCATTCTAGTCTCTAATGTGAAGATTAACAGAAGCATTTTAGTTTTCAGTGTACTAATAAATTTAATGCCAAGTAGTCTTAAAGAAGGCCTCTTGATCTGTATCTATTTTGAGTAACTAGGTTGATGCTGGCTGGTGTCAGAAGCACCTACACAAGGTCTAGGTTTGAAATCAAGTGCTTGAGGAATGCAAAGAGCCACTGAATATTTACTTTTCTTCTTTTTATAGTTTTCTTAAAGCAGTTTAGTTCAGTTTATTTGTTTTAAATGCCCACTTAACAATGTAACTTTTAAGTATGTACTATATCCTAAAGATTTTTATACAATTAGTAAGTTGGGCCCTTCCAGATTTTCTTTGGTAAAATAATAATTCTCTTTAATTTATCTAAGTTGAATATTGCTTGGAGGAATCATTTCATTTGAGTACAATTTAAAGGCATCTGCAGAACAATTCATATTATAGTTATTATTTAATTAGATCTTGTAAGGCTTCTAGAATGGTGTATGTTTTTATTTTTACAAATATCCTATTTTACTCTTTTCTACATGGATTGCTTATGGCTTTTCCTAAGAAGAGGATTATCTGTTCAATTGAGTGTGGATGAAAAGCCTGTTTTATCCTCCCTTTAAAATTGAGCCAAAAAAAAAAAAAAATTCTGCTATCGATCACATGAGTCAACTAAAGTGCATGAGCCTGAGTCCTCAGAACAATTTATCAGCAAAGTCCCTCCTTCTGCCTTTATGGGAACTGGTTGATTTATTACTACAAGATTATAAAAGGGCCTCAACATCACTGATTAGTACAGTGTGGAAAAACCTGCTGACTTTGTGTGTTTGGCTGTTGATGACAGTACAGGGAGAAAGCCAAAGTCACACTGGAAGCTTGCAACTGCTAATGTCACTGACTGCCTTTCACCAAGAAAGATGGGTGGTGGTCTGCAATGTTTTTTAGTAGTAGGTCAAATATTCTGAGGTAGATGCTGAAAATTTCTATAATAACCATCAATGTTAAAATCTCTTAGTAAAAAGATGCAGAAACTTAGTTGGTAAAGCATAAGTAATAGGACATAGAACTTCTTGGAAGACATGGTGAGATTCTGATAGTACCAAGTGCTATGAAACCTGCCTTGGCCCAGCCATCTGTCCTCACTGGGAAGCATCCAAGGAGTCAAATGGAAGAGCACAGTAATAGAATCAGTTTGAACTTAAGCTTCAAACCCCAGTGCTAAAACCTAGTTCGCTGTCTTTGACTATATGGAAGAATCTTTTTCCCAATTTGATAACACCTAAACATCCTTGAGCCAAAAATGACACAGGCTAATGTTTTCTAGTCCATAAATATGCAAATATAAATCTCTAAGATTTACAACTCCATAGGGTTTTCACTTTCACTGAGTAGTTCCTAGACCTCATCTTCCTAGACACTAGTCTGAATCAGCAATTTCACCATCTTTAAACTTGAATTCTTTCAACCCCAAGATTTTGTGTGTCCTACTTTATCCAGAGTTCCCGCAGCAGTGAATTCCACCATTCTGTCTTCCAGGTCACTTATCTATTCTTCTGCCTCAGTTATTCTGCTATTGATTCCTTCTAGTGTAGTTTTCATTTCAGTTATTGTATTGTTCATCTCTGTTTGTTTGTTCTTTAATTCTTCTAGGTCTTTGTTAACCATTTCTTGCATCTTCTCGATCTTTGCTTCCATTCTTTTTCCAAGGTCCTGGATCATCTTCACTATCATTATTCTGAATTCTTTTTCTGAAAGGTTGCCCATCTCCACTTCATTTAGTTGTTTATCTAGGGTTTTATCTTGTTCCTTCATCTGGTCCATAGCTCTCTGCCTTTTCATCTTGTTTTTCTGTGAATGTGGTTTTTGTTCCACAGGCTGCAGGACTGTAGTTCTTCTTGCTTCTGCTGTCTGCCCTCTGGTGGATGAGCCTACCTAAGTGGCTTGATGGGAGGGACTGGTGGTGGGTAGAGCTGACTGTTGCTCTGGTGGGCAGAGCTCAGTAAAACTTTAATCCACTTGACTGTTGATGGGTGGGGGCTGGGTTCCCTCCCTGTTGGTTGTTTGGCATGAGGCAACCGAACACTGGAGACTACCTGGGCTCTATGGTGGGGCTAATGACAGACTCTGGGAGGGCTCACGCTGCCAGTGTCCTTGTCCCCATGGTGAGCCACAGCCCCCACCCCCCACCCCCACCTCTGCAGGAGATCCTCCAACACTAGCAGGTAGGTCTGGTTCAGTCTCCCCTGGGGTCACACTGCTCCTTCCCCTGGGTCCCGACGCACACACTACTTTGTGTGTGCCCTCCAAGAGTGGAGTCTCTGTTTCCCCCACTCCTGTCGAAGTCCTGTAATCAATTCCCACTAGGCTTCAAAGTCTGATTCTTTAGGAATTCCTCCTCCCATTGCCAGAGCCCCAGGTTGGGAAGCCTGATGTGTGGCTCAGAACCTTCACTCCAGTGGGTGGACTTCTGTGGTATAAGTGTTCGCCAGTCTGTGAGTCACCCATCTGACAGTTATGGGATTTGATTTTACTGTGATTTTTATTTTTATTTTTTAATTTTTCTTTTTACATCTTTATTGGAGTATAATTGCTTTACAATGGTCTGTTAGTTTCCGCTTTACAACAAAGTGAATCAGTTATACATATACATATGTTCCCATATCTCTTCCCTCTTGTGTCTCGCTCCCTCCCACCCTCCCTATCCCACCCCTC